TAACAAGTTAATATATGTTAATAAGAATATAGATATATTATCAAGTTAGAACGAAAACATATGGTCAACGACCAACAAACAAATAAATAGCGAGATGCGAACGAGTAGATTTTAGAGAGAAAGAAAGTGAAGTGCAGAGGACACAAGATTAGTTGAAGAAAGACGTTGTTAGAAAGAAGTTGTTGAGGAAGTTGTGAAGAACTGTGAAGTGAAAGAGTAACTCTCCTTATAATAAAAAGCCGAGTTTAATCTTAGGACGTGTTTGGTTGTGAGAGTCACTCTTGTTAGAGGAACTAGTACCCGTATCAATGCTATAATTATCATTGGGACCTCTTGCTAGACTCAGGTACTCATTGGTGTTTTAATATCGAAAAATCTGGCATTACCTTAGCTCTGGGCAAAGTCATTGTGCTAAATGAGGCAAGACAACGCCTTCGTCTTGATTTATTTCTATTTGTCTTAAGAAAAATTAAGATTAAAACATGGAAGGTACCGAAAACAGACATTTGTACCGGTAAATCCGCAAATATCTTGCAATATTCTGTAAGTCTGCATTTTTATTAAACCATCATTTGGGAAGCGTTTCTTTGATTTGATGCACCAAGTCTAAAAATACGCATAATAGGTTTCTGGCGGGATCTCCTTTTATTTATGATGCTCAAATATTCACCCCTAGGAAGCTTTTTCTCGAATTCAAACCTCTCCTGTTGAATAAATAGCTGAAATTTCCCGCCAATTATTTACTATCTTATTAAAAATGGGGGTAAAATGCCATGTCCAAGAAGAAGCGAACTAGATTCCCGTGGAGCAGACTAGGTTATGGCCCGGTCGGATTTCGAAAAAACGCATATTTGGTACAAGCTTGTAACTATTATTTATTCTGAGATCGGAGGGGCATAGATGAACAGTTTCGAATGCATGCTCATTGAGTATCTTCAACGTACTCAAGGGCAAGAAACTGTGAAAACATTACAGCAAAAACCATCGTGGAGCAGAGTGGGCTTAGGTTTGAAATGGCAAGTGCAAAACATTTCCACATTATCTAAATGAAAACGGTTACCCATATTTACAAGCAGAGAAAAATGGGCTTCTAAGTGAAAACAATCGCAAGTTGCGTGTACGATTCGACGAAGGCCCTACGGGATATACTGATAAGCCGGGAGAATTTAGGGCCTCTTCATATGAGCCCGGTTTCCGAGATCTCGCCTCACCTCTAAATCCTTTGTAAAATTTTCGATGCGTTCATATGAGAGGGCGGGCTGGCTCGGTTCCCGAGATCTCGGTAGGCGGGCTGGAAATTTGCCTTATGAACACTTCATCCCCTGGTTGCTTGCAGCAAAATATGGGACCCGGCATCCCAGAAAACGATAAACATCCGAATTCATCCCGCCGTTCATCCCTGGCGGTCCGTATGGCATCGTCTTGCATTGCCTGCTGTGTTTTCCACATCATAAGCTTCCCATTTAACTGCAGTGATACAGCTTTAAGAGTTACCGATGCTAAGATAGGCCCGAAAGTTAAAATTTTTGTGTTTCGCTATGTTTGCTTTGTTTCCCAAATTTGGCGCCAGAACTCGTACCCAGGATCTTTGACCTTTTCTCATCTCGGAAACCGGGCTAAAATTTCTCATATGAACCCAAGGCAAAATTCATCCCGGTAACCGAGCCAGCCCGGTCAACCGGGCTCATATGAAGAGGCCCTTAAGTCAGGTCACGATTTGACTGTGTTTGGCTTCTTGGCAGCAAGGACAAAGTGTCAGTTGTCAGCCGAATTATGATCCCATTAATTAATCACTGTCGGTATTTTTAGCAAAATCGAAATCAATCCTAGCAACCATGATGTAAGCAAACCAGTCATCTGTGGTTGCATACTGAGTACTTTAAAACAATTTCTCATGGGAAATTTGAGAAGAAACTTTATTTTTCCATCAATGTTCTTAAAAATTTGCGTTTCGCAACTTTGAAATCGTTCTCCGTGTATTGCATTAAACACTAATTCGACCATCTGAATGACATACCCTGTGGCGATGTTAATTTAACATTTGGTAAAGTCTTTGAAAACGGCTTTATGTGTTACGGTTTTGTTAATAATAATAATAATAATAACGAATATTTATACAGGATAGCCCTTCAGTGCAAGAACACTGTTATTAGTTTGTGTTGTTAGTTTGTGAAACTTCATCCATCCGTGATTGTGAGGAAGATTATATTCTCTAAAGTAGTTTCCTCTAAGTTTATACTTTTTTGTTTTAAGTGGGACCATAAGTTACTGTTTACGACTGCTTTGAAGAAAAACGTGGAATGCCGTTAGTTGAATAATTTTAATACTGACACCTCTTCATCGTCCCCCTCCCCCTCAGTAAATGAGTGTCCGCTTAACACAAGTTTCACTATAAAAAACTGTTTCATCGGTACTTGCACACGAGGGTTTCTATCAGTTAAGCGTACACTGATTTAGCACATGATCTATGGTTAAAATGATGGAGGTTTAAAAAATGTTTGTAGTTTGATGGCATTTGATGGCCATGGAAGCGTATCCACTTCAAACGGAGTTGAAGTTGAAAACCTGTCGACCACTGGGCATGATCAACAGCCATAACCCGATAATAATATCACATTTAACAAATAACAAAACTGTGGGGTGGGGGGGGTACTTCGATTACTGGTGTCTCAAGCCACAGCGAAATATGCATGAAGAAGTATGTTAAGTATGTTCTAAACTTGTCTGAGTCTAGTGCTTACTCTTCAAGGCACCGGTGCGATGTTTTTGACCCACTATTTATATTTTTCAGTTGGTTTTTGATATCTTACTTTGGCGGGGCGGTTTTTTTCATGGTCTCTCGATCATGTTTGGCGCCCTTTTTACTTTCTCTTTTTGCATGGTTGGTTGTTTAGACGTTGTAGCGTGAAGGTATGAAGAAACATAGCTTAATCTGTGCCTTTTAACCGCCAAAATAAATTAGTACTAAAACCGCAGCATGACACTCTCCAGTTGTTTTTTGCGCCATAAAAATTGCGCCGTAGTAGAACTACACAAGGAGCGTTGGTCTGTGTTGTCCCTGATTTGCTTCGGGTTCAGACCAAGCTGCAAGTAGAGGCAAAACGACGGTGAAGGCCTTTAGGATAGTCATTTACGGACTATCCAACCGGGAAAGGGAAAGAATCGAAGATAGCCTGTTCATAGACCCTCTGTTTTCTCTTTAGAGATAGTCGAGCGCACCTATATGACTGAATGAGAACCGCAAATGAGCACATGGGGTGGGGGGGGGGGAAAGGGGAAAGGGGGAAATTTTCTAGAGGCACTCATTCCAGAGTCTGTCCCGATGCCCTATAAAGTTATCGGAGAATGCTCTTAAGAGATTGCTCTCTCTTGCTTCGGAACAGGCTTGCTTGGCATTCTATTTACTTTAGATTGTTTAGGCACAAAGCAATCAAGAAATTACAAACCAGAGCAAACAACTCAGCAAATATTTGAGCTACTTCATATACTATCTGAATATACTGTCTTTAATGAACGTCTATTTAACTATGAAGTGAACGCTATCATTCAAGAGTTTTTAAACAGAGAAATAAAATACTTATTTTTGGGGGCTAGGTTGGCCCACATTTTAGAGGGTCTCGTGGGCTGGATCAGCTAAAATTTTGGCTCTTTTACGGCTTTAATTTGTTAATGTTAACAAAAAGTTAAAGATTAATTTCTTTTGTTTCGTTAAAATTAATAAACCTGGATTTTTTTTATCTTTAAAGCAAAATTTTTAGGATCATCTCGGGATGAAAACTTTTTTTTTTGAAAAATTTTAACATTTGATAGATCATATCATTATTTATGCGTTTATCATTCAAGAGAGATTTTTTTTGTAAACAGAGAAATGCCTTGAACGAGATTGTGTGGGAAGAAAGGGGCTAGGCATTATTCTTCAGAGAAAATACATGCTGTTTATCGACAACGTGATGAACTGCGTGTTGTTTCAGATATGAAAGCAAATTTAATTGCAAAATTTTCGCTATGGAAAAAATCAGTTCTAAATTTTAGGCCGTTTTTTGAGTTAACCCATTGGACCCTATTTTAGTATAGTGGCACAAAGGCGGGACATAAAAAAGTAACCACTCAAAAACTAGGGATCAATTTCTTTTTTATCACCCTATTTACGACTAAAAACAAACTGTCCCCGGGCAAAATCCAAAACAAACTGTCTCCCGGGCATCCAACAAACCTCAAAGAAAAGTGATTAGATGCTCTTACATTGAACTAATGAGGGAAAAAAACCTTAGTGGGATTGACGATCATTTGTTTAAGAAACAAGGATTTTGGAAATTGGTGAAATATTTCTGTTTTGCTTTTGGAGTCACTGAAGCACTTTCGTATTCTCTGTACTCGATTGTGTTGTCGTTTTTCGTGGTCAATCTGTAAACAATAGTAAAGAAATTATTTAAAAATTGCATACAGCATTGTCCCCGGTTTCCACCGCTATCGTCTAAAGAGTTTTCTTGTTTTATTTGCTGAGATTTTTTGTAATGAAATCTTAGCTAGATTTGGAAGAAAAAGGGCAGAAAATAGCAAAAAACAAGGCTTTTGGCCAGAATCCCCCTCAAAAGAAACTTAGACACACTGCAAACACTATTTGGTTCTGAAAAGGGCGTGTATTGGGGAGAAACTAGTTGTCTGGAACGCTCATCTAAACAACTCCTTTCATTTACCTATGATAACCTATGTTCTCTTTAGCTAGAATCAATAATTTTCACTAGGTTTTAAGTGCCCTTATGTCTCCGAGTTATAGCAGTCGCTGCCAGGAAAACTTTCGGATCGTATAGCTACTGAAATTTTTGCACGTTTTGTGCGCACAGCACATACACGCACATAATTGACTGAGGAACAATCTCGTATGTTTTTTTTGTGTTTTTTTTTGCGGGGCTTGCCTGACCAAAAAAAGAGAAAATGCCCTGGGGATTGGCACGAGATCTGGGCTCAACTTGAGCAGACGTTGTGGTCAGCGGTATTAGTTAAATTCAAGATGGCGGCATCTACAAGTTTCTTTCTTCTCTCTGTTTGTTTCTCTTGCAAGACCGCTCTCAGTGAAAATCCTAACATAATCATCTTCTTAACTGACAATCTTTCTTTTCGGGATCTAAGTATTTATGGGAATAATTCTCAGCAGACTCCGAACATCGATCGCTTGGCTCGTGAAGGAGTGTTGTTTTCACGTTGGTACTCTCAGTCTTCGAGAATTTCCTCCCTAGCTTCTATCTTAACAGGATTATTGCCACCTCGAAATGGAATGATAAAGAGCAAATTCTTATCGTTTAAGGAAATACCATCTTTAGCTTCTACTGGAGGACTACCTAACAGTGAAATTACTTTGGGAAAAGTTTTAAAGGCGAAAGGCTATTCGACGAGTTTTGTTGGTTTGTGGGGTCTTGGAGTCGGTAGGAATGGAGAATATCTGCCCCTTAATCATGGGTTTGATTATTGGTATGGCGTACCGTCAGCCCACAAAGAACACTGCACAAATAATTATAGAGCGGCATCAGATTCTCAATATACTTGGGAATCCGTTTTCTCGTTTTTCAGCCCAATGCTTTACGTTTTACCAATTGTTGCATTTATTGTTTGGTATAATGGATATTCTATAAACATGGTCACTGTTTTCATAATTATAATAGCTTTTATATTTTATACCAGTGTGTTGCATGATGTGATTCACTACACCATGGACGTAATTCAGATAAGGAGCTGTGTACTATACAAGAACAACAACATCATTGAACAACCCTACACTTTAGAAAATTTGACTCTGCGGTTTACGAGAAGTGCTGTTAGTTTTTTAGAGGAATCATCAGTTTCAAGCAAACCATTCTTTTTATTTGTGAGTTTCATGAACCTCAACCAGCCGGTGTTTGCGTCACAGTTGTTTTCTAATGGTAGCAAGAGTAGTTATTCTGATGCCTTAAGAGAAGTGGACTGGAGCATTGGAAGGATAGTGAGGACAGTAAGAGAAAGGAGAGTTGACAACAATACCATTGTTATATTTACATCAGCCACGGGGCATTATGTTGATGAAACTTGTGACAGCTCTACACCATCTGAAAATGAAGATGAAGAAACACTCTGTTCAAAAGGTGAAAATTGCCAAAAAAATGATCAGGTTAGGCCAAGTAAAAAAAAAAAGACACGTTTTCTGGTGACCATGCAGCTCTCAGAAGACCTCACACGATTGGTTGGGAAAACAATGAACAAACAAAGTAAACAATGGAATCTAGCCAGAAAACAAAAGATGAGAAAAGCTGTGAAATGAGGGGGACCTATGAAATTGGAAGTTCTGCAGAGCTGCAAGGTTACTGACTGCTTCTCATCTGGATTTGCATTAAAAACTAGAGTTGGTGGGTATTGCCAATTGAAAGCTTCTTTTACAAATTATTACCCTCTCCCAGAATAATTTGGAATTGTTGGGTCAAATATCAATTAATGAAATGCCAGATAATAAGTAAACACAAAATTGATTTATTTATACAACATGCTTTAAACAGCATGGTCTGTTATGCAGGATTGTGGAATAACTGGTGTTGAAAGTGATGCCTGTTGGTTTTGTTTGTTTTAACTTTTCCAAAAAGAGAGAGGTGGCCCCAATAAATAAAGCGGGTAAGGACAAGAAACATTTTTTTTTTACTTGGCCTTAACTTCTTCTTTACTGCATACATAATAAGTAGTAGAGTTACACCAAGGTTATTTAAATTCGTCAGCTCAGTTTCAAACAGAAAATATGAGAAAGAAATATTAAATTAAAAAAGTTACTTTCCTCCTGTGAGTATCATTTATGTTTCCATGGTGCTGTTGCTGAATAATAATTTCAGCAAGCATTTATTATTATTTAAGGTTCACTGTTTTCCTCTCCATGAATTAATTAAATTTCTTTCCCATATATTGAAGGAGCTGTGTCACAAAATTCAGCCAAATTAGGAAATTACAAAATGCCCGTTAAATTAAGAGAAACATAAAAATAACTGCTTAAAACTTTAAAGGAAGGTTAAAATAGCATGATAACAACAACAACAGATGCCATGGATGGGCAAAACTGAAGAAGATTGTTAATATGCAATGTCATATTCTGGGTGACTTCTCCTAAGGAGCTTGGGCTATCTGTGTCTTGACAACAGCGGGGCCAACTCTAGGTGTCTTAGCCTGTGACAACAGCTGTTTCTCCTTGCTCTTCGCCACTGGGGATGTTTTGTGAGGAGGAACGTCTGCGACTCAGCGGCAGAAATTCCATACTGATGACGTAAATCAATGTTTACTTAATAAATCCGGTAGTCATATGGTTCCAAATGCAAACTTGTTCAATTTTACCTTTCTCCTGGTCAATTTTGGTAATATAAAGTGTTGTGTTCATCTGTGAACGAGTTCCAGCAAAACTCAAATGCTTCTTCTGGAAAGGACTATATTCCACAAATATAAACTGTTTTGTTAGAGATTCATTGTGTTTACATTGACCTTTGTGGCGTTTTGTCTTTTGTCTGTCATTCGTAAACAATAGCTAAAACAATGTAACTACTGCGTCATCCAATCAGCGCTTCTGTCTGGATTCCGGACAGATTTTAGGTCATCAGTATAGAATTTCTGCTACCAAGTCACAGACATTCCTCCTCACAAAACGTCCCCAGCGGTGAAGAGCAAGGAGAAACAGCTGTTTTCGCAGGCTATAGCTGTCTGTTCTATAGAGGTGACTGTCTTATAGAGGTGTACGTGAAGACAGAGTTGATTGATGTCAGTCTTGTTAATACACTGCTCTAGGTATCGATAAGAATGATGTTTGGGAACAAACCATCTGTGTGCCAGCAGTGATAACATGGCTTGGACACATAACACCCAATCAAATTATAAAGACACCTGTGACCATCATGGATATTATGCCCACTGTGCTGGAATTACTCAACCATAGTGCTGATGCTTTACAGTCAGATGGCAAAAGCTTGTTGCCTGTTTTGTTCAACACATCGGCAGAATCTCAACATGAGTATATTTTCCATTACGTTGAGGTTACCAAGCCATCTGCCATAACAAGAGGATCTTATAAAGTTGTTTACACAGACATCAAAGGTAATAATGAAGAAATAAAATAGTTGCATTTTCCCCTAAAAATTGCACAAAAATGTGAAAATAATAGCACCAATGCTGCAAAATTACAACAGATTTAAAGCTATCAAGCAAACTTTTATTGAAAAAATGCTGCACCTTATAAGCGAAAAAATATGGTATTTAGTTCTCAACAACAAAAATTTTTTTGCTTTAATACAGGGTGGTTAATAATATTGAAAAGCCCTCTTGGGTCCAATCTGAGAAAATTTGACATCATATCATGGATTTTACTAATTATTATTATTTGTTCAATTATTATTTATTTTGATGTAGATGATGGAACAGTTGAGTCCTTTGATCCTCCTCTGCTGTTCAATGTTGAGGTCGACCCCAAAGAGAAGACACCTTTACCAAACACAGAATACAGAGAACTGTTAGCAAACATTTCAGATGCTTTGTTACAACACATGTCTTCTAGAAGGAACAAATGGCTCTCACAGCTGGACAGCCGTATAATTCCTTTTTGGTTTCCCTGTGCAAATTTTCCACACTGTTTCCAAAAGAGTGATGAAACCAGTGACTTTTCAGATTTGTTTCACTTGTAGCAATGCTGAATTTGTGCACATTACATTTCTAAGGAAACCTTTATTAAGAACTGACGGTGCTTTTGATAAGTAATAACGGCCAAAACCTCCCTCAACAGTAAAGTCGGCTCCTTTACCTTAACTTGAAGGTTTTAAAGAAATGTTCTTTTAAACTTTGTTGATACAATGATAAATTTACTCTACTCAAACTAGCTGCCTACCTCAAATGACGTTACATTTTTTAGCTGTTTTTGTTGTTTGGGGGAAGAGTATTTCCCATAACTAGGACTCTAATGACACCTCTATACTCCAGACGTAGTTGATCAATAAAAATCAATATCAGGAATTGATCGATGTCATCGATATTAATCAATGTAATCTGCCAATTAATATCTATTGATTTTGGAAATCGATAGAAATCGAAGTCACAGAAAAAACAATTTATCGATTAACAATTGAAAATTGATAACAATCGATAGGAACGATAGTAATCGATAAAAAATCATTATTGATTTTATATCAGAAAGTCATCGATATTAATTGAATCACTACCTTTTTTCTTTATTGATTTCTATCGATCGATATCGGAAATCGATATTCATCGATGATTGATAATATCAATTATTACTATCAATTATCGGTTATTGATTAACTACATCTGGTATACTAGGCCTATATCATGGCATTTTCCCACAACAGTCTCTTTTTAGATGCATTTTAAAGCTCTTTCCCCTGAAAAAATGGAACAACTCCACTTTGTTTCTGAGCACAATATTTTAAAGCATAGACTGAGTGATTTTACTTAACTCATGTAATAGGTACTGTAGTAGAATACTAAGCGCTATTATGCACTAATTTTATTGTCTTATTTTGTTTACTTGTAGCTGTTTTTCACTAGTGGTTATTCTCTAGATGTGTTTCACTGGTCAAGTAAAGTCACTCTCAGAAAACTAAATGTCATTAAAACATCAAAATACCATTTCCAGGTCAGTAGGTTTTGCTCACTGGATTTGGGAACTATAAAAGAGCAATATTTCTGAAGACTCGAGTACCTGTACTGTATTACTATGTGCCAGTTGCTTGCCCCCTAGCCTGCAGGAGCATCCGGTTTTTTGGCTCAAGTTTCTAGTTTCACCCACCGTTTTTCTCGGCAGGTGAAACTAAAAAACTTGAGCCAAAAAATAAACGGATGCTCTAACAGGCTTCTTGCCCCCAGGTCAGGTTAATGATCCTCCCCTCCCACTTATGGACAGTTCATGGAAAATTCCACCTGAGGGGAAAGTGGGGTTCAAGAGGTTTGAGAGGGGTAAATTATTATTTTTTTTCACAGTGGTTAGTGGTGGTTT